ACAATTAGCGCTTATTTTAACAACATTCAAATTAATCTGCTTTACATAATTTGAGTGGCTTCCTCTTTTATAAAATGTGCAAAACATTGCCATAACTAAAGTGCGTATAACACATCAGCTTCTTGATTAAGGTCGATAAACAAAAAATATGCAGATGACACCCTATACATAAAAAGTAATCTAACAAATAAACTACTACAATAACTTGAATAGTGCTTAAGCCTTCGAAAATTATATACATGACGTTAACGCCCGAATACTGAAAGGTTACCCAATTGGAAATCGCGCTGGGGAATAGTTAGTTCTGTCACTACAAATTAATTGTATATTTACAGATGGAACGATATTTAAGTGCAACTTAAAATTTAGTAGCCTATCAGTATTCGGGCGTTAGATTTTCGTAATAAGTGCCTATGTAGGTATTAATTTCTTTTCTTCTGGCTATACCAGAAGTGCTATTATACTCTGTACTAAAACATGTATAAGCACAAAAACTAATAATGTGGCAGTGGTGATAAATATGGTAATGAAAACTTTTTAGGTACAACTGGGTTATTTTGTGGAAAATCCGTAACTACATACCTATATGAAGTCGAGTAAGACACATGAATATTTTTTGCGAATTATATTTTTTAATTTGGTTGGTTGCTAAGATGTTCGTAGCATAACGTAGTATAACAAAGGGACCTTTGCCGAAAATATGCATACGAATAGAATTCACAATATACTTCATTTATTTTGCGTTATACGTGTAATGTTATAAATATAATAAAGTAAAGATAAAATTAATTTTCATATATACATACATGTATATCAAGTATATATTAAAAATTAAATTTTATAAGTTATTGAGAAAAACGTATTAAATTTTAATACTTAACCATAAATAATACTATTTAAGGATATTTCTTATAATATATACCTAATGAAAATATAAAAATATTTTTGTCAAAAAGTGTTCACTGCGAGACTGTTAAAGTAGTTACCTACATTTTTATTTATTAATAGCAGGTAATGATAGTCTAAACAAGCGCAATATATTATCAGAGAGTGTATGTAACGAACGGAATGGTTGAGTATGGGAGTACTAGTATTGTCGGGTTGCGACGATGCATACGAAGCGCTGATTGCACCCAGGCTGTGATCAACACACGCGCTCAACCGAATAGATTGAAATGCTAGCCCTTCCCTGTTTGTTGACTCCAGTACATTGCTTGTACAACCAGGAGTCGGATTAAACATGTTGTAACATGATTTGTTTGTTGGTTTGTTTATTTGATGTTGTGGTTTCCAGAGTTAGGTAAGGTTAGAATTGAAAATAGGATCAGTATGAAAGTGGGGAAGTGTCTTTCCTGAGAAATATTTCCTCCTCATGTAACGTTTCCATTCCATTTATTTTTGGTATGTATAAAATGTTCATTGAATGAAAGCTTTTTTGAACTATGATTTAAATGGTAGTTTAAAAAATAAATGTCTGTATAATATGTAAATTATTATGTTTTCGGCTTACTCACGTAATAATTTGAGCAGCATTTCACGACCCGCGATGCGGTGACTGTCGCGAAATGCTGCTCATGAATATGAGCCTCTAGCATGGCTTGAAACTAGTCGAGTTCCTCGTTATTACGTGAGTAAGCCGAAAACATAATAATTTATTTAGTATGTCTCACGAAAGTGACAATACATATATAATATGTGTATAAATAAACATCTGGTTCTGTGGTTGTTCAAAAATTCTAGAAATTCTCGAAGGCAAAAACAGACAGAATTAAAAATAGCAGCGATTTATTTATGTCCATAAAATATTATGTATCCATTTTGAAATGTTGTAACATTACCAAAATAATCTTAATTTGAATTTCTGTAACGGAAAAATTCCAGACTAATTTTATTAATGAAATGAATAAATTTAATAAATACTTTTTGGTTTCTATTCTTGTAAATGAGTAAAAAAAAATGTGTAACTTTGTTTAATTTCTCTATACTACTACGTCTACGAATGTAGAGCCACTTTGTAGAGTAAATTGCAGTTGAAAAAGAAAATTAAGAAAGTCAAACAATATTTCAATAATATACTGAAGTCACCTACATACGTAACATCACGCCTTTTATCCCCGAAGGGGTAGGCAGAGGTACACCAATGTACACATTATTGCACTTAATGCCACTGTACACTGTAACACCCACTTTTCACTATTTATGTTATGGGTCCCATGTAAAAGGGGGTGAGCCTATTGCCATATACTGGGCGGGCACAATTTCAGATTCCGTGCTACTATTGAGAATTTATAAAAACCCAGTATAGTTTGCCCGTCCCGGGAATCGAACCCGATACCCCTGGCAGTCGCAATTGCGACCACTCGGTCAACGAGGCAGACTGAAGTCAAATAAACAATAAAATAAAGTAATATCAAGATGTAAAAAAAGTAAATTCACAAAGTATATACTATTGAGTAGTTAAATGGTAAGGCGGACATACAGATACGAATTTGGACAGAATTCAAAGCACGTAAACAAACTGTTTGTTAAAATAAAGAGGAACTAACAAAATAAGCGGATATATACCAGCCAACAACAACACATTTATTACACCTTTAATAAGATAGGAAATACTAGCTTTTCCTTATATATACACCTATTTGTTTCTAAACACGATTTTTTTAAATAAAAAACTTCCTCTAAAGTACCTACAAGACATATAAGTCGATCAGTAGTTTCAATAATTAGTCAATACAAAATCACTCTTATTATTACTAGGTATAAGTCTTTTAATTATGATGCACATTTTTTTATTAACAGTCATTTTAGATATTTTTTAGTTATATACAGTGATAATAACATTTGTATACTTGTTTATTAATCAGTTTGTACAGCTTAACTGTTCTATGAAAGAACTCGACTAGTTTCAAGCTTCACATAGGGCCTATGATCATGCATGACTACCGATGCGGCGAACTTCGCGTAGCCAATGACATTGAAAATACAATTTAATACGTATTTGCACGCGTAACAGGTGAAATTCAGTACATTGAATATATGTATTATCTTACATTTTTAGATAAATAATTGATGGGTGACATAAGACAAGTTACATATAGTATTAATATTTAAATCTCTTTGGTTAGTTCTATTTTATTCCGCCTGACTAGACACATCAGTAGCACTATATATCAAAATCAAAATACGTTAGCTGAAGTTTTTGTAGATTTTTTTCTAAGTCTACATGACCAGTTTATATCATATGTCAGTTTCGAAATAGGTTTACACGGGTCTAAAATTCATCAGATCATATCGACTGATATGTTCACAGTAATATTAAATCATTAATATTTTGTGTCTTTAAATTTAGAATACCTTCGCAGTTACATTATTTCATGACGTATAATAAAAATAGTAAACAGTAATTTCAATAGTTCTAGAGACTGCTGATGTGGTAATAAACCGTTTACTTTTACTATCGAAGAAAGGTACGGTGTGCAATATTGCAATACACGATATTCCGACTAAGAAAATGGGTCAGGTCTAACTAGAACAACTGTGTATCAAACGCTTACCTATTACTGCAATACTTTAGCTGAATGTTCATATAAATTGCTAACTTGCGATAATACGTTGACGTTTACAAAACGTAACTAATAAGTAAGCAAGCATATTAGTTTTACATACTCATCACGCCCAGACCCGACAGCAATTTGCAAATCACACACTTTTAAATTTGGGCATCAAATCCGACGACACAACTGTTTGGATCATACAAAGAACATTCCATTAGGGAATCGAAAGCATATACCTCTACAACCGATCTCCTAACCATTGCGCTAATCGTACTTGATAAAAGTAGTCATTTTTAAACAAATGTTACTGTTTATTTACAGAAAGAAATATGACTATGAAATGGTGAATAGGATACAAACTGTGTGTAGACCATGACCTTTGACAAATAAGAGCTATGTCTTGTCGACACAGGAAGAGAGGAATAAAACAAAAGGACACACAAACCGACTTCTATTGATATAAATTGAATTTATTTATACAAATGTACACTGGACATGTGGTATTGAAATTAACATCTGTACCAAAACGAGAAGAGAAAGATATCTATGTATTAAATAAAAATGTTACGTAAGTAGTGTTAAGGGTTGTAATTTCATAAAATTTATCATATTTGCTAACATGATTTATAATGGTGATAATATTTCTTTATCCTTATATTAAAATCAATTATATGATTAGAAAAATTATTAAGTAAGCAGGTATTTCGTTTTTTCATGATTTTATTCGCTGTGTTAGTTTTAGTTAATTTTAAGTTGTATATTGTTATAATATAATGTTATTTACGTGTATTAAAACAAGATATTTCAGTAAAAAGGAATTATATGATACAATTATATTTAACAAACGCGTATATTGTATTCAGCACTTCATGAACGTTTATAGTATTAGCGATTACTTGATCAGAGAGCTAGGATTTAAATTATACTAGCAACTACAGATTGACACTCCCTAAACAGCAGACTAGGAACCACCTGATTAACACATCAACTACATATACAACGTGTCGAATAAGAATATATTAAAACTAAAGAATACTAATATACACATACTTATTGCAACGTGATCAGTGACCGACCAATAAAGGACATAACAATAAAATGAAGGATGAGTAATTATTTTTATTTTTTCCATGTATTGTTTTTATGTATAGTATTTATTTTATATATAATATTATATCTACCAATATAGATGTGATGTACGCTTGTAAAAAAATAATTTTATGAGTAACTTATAAAGATATAACACCTGTTTATCGGCGTTAGAGAATATTAATTTTTATACACGTACTGAAAACATTTGTATTCCGTAATGAATAAATGTTATAATGTAATGTAATGTAAAATAATAATTATGGTGTCTTCCTTCAGTTTCTGAGCAATGATGGTGATCAAAACAATTGTAATAAATTCTTGAAAATATTATTATTTTTAATTATAGGTACTCACTCTTGAACAGACCCATCTTGAAACACTTTCTCATAATGTCGGAAAACGAATTAACTTTATTTACGTCACCCATATATGGTGAACACTACTTCTCACCAGTATTATAATCAAATGTTTATTTACTTCATTAATTAATCATTCAAATCAAAACTTCGAAATAAAAGTCTTTTAAAATATTACGAAAAGCTCGTGAAAAATGTTTTCTTGAACGATCATGTAGCCGGCTCACTGCGACCTGATACATTATCAGACTGAAGCGTCGTCGCAGGCGCAGCCACCGGGCGACCGGCGCTCGCGCAGATCTCATTGCCGCGCTCCGTATAAATCACACGCGCGGATTATCTAATTAAGCTTGGAAGAATGGTATCATAAAGAACACACTGTTTGTGTATAAACAAATACAAATATAATATGATTCTAATTACAGTATGATTACGTAGTATTTTAATTGATGTCTGGAACTAGATAGATAATACTAATTCTGTATTAGACCGTTGAAGCTTATCTCATATAGCACGTTAATTAATATGGTTGAAACATCAATCTCTTTTATTAAGTAACACAATCCATATTAATAAAAAACGAATCCCCGAAGTCCGCGTATAACTGCAGAACGACGGTACCAATTTGGATATTTTTTTACGTCATTGTCAAGAGAAGGTCTTTATGACAAAAATGCGATGGGATGCGAGTACGAAGCCGCGGGTTGCAGTTAATGTTAAATAAAAATTTAAAACCAATCCCAAAAACAGGTTTACCATGTTCAGGTTTCAAAAAAGGAAAGTAGCAATAATATATTTTAATTTATATGCAATATCTTATTCAATCCAAACCAAAAATTTTGAAGGGCTTTCTGAGCATAACCGGTTATATGTATAGTTGTCCTTAAATACATACAATACATGAATAATACGATACGATTTTACCAACTTACACAGCCAAAATCTCAACTAACCCCTTACTTGTACTGTTAGATGCTGTAGTTAGCTGCCACTTAAAGGTTGGTGAAAAATAACTAAAATGTCGATAAAGATTCTTAAAAAGGCCTTTCTGGTTCTGGAACTGAACTCATAATCAACCGGCTGCGGAATCGCAGAAAACTGTGATCTCGTAAGTTTTGAAAATAAATGTCCATTCCGCCAACATACACGGGTGAAAATCGTATCGTGAGCCCGTAGCGTTTTTATTGTTTGCAATTTTTTCATAGGTCAAAAAATAATTAATAAGTGTTTTTACTTTTAGTGCATAGTTATAATAATGACACAAAGCAATCTTAAATCTTATTCCACTGAAATTAAGGACTATAACACAACATTTAGGTTATTCTACCTAAAATATAGTGTTGTTTGAATACTTTCGATGCGACCTTTCACATTTTGGCGCCATTGAACCCGCAGCGATTAACGGAGGCAATTGTTGTTAGAGAGACGACAACATCGATTAATTATAACTAGTCAAGTTGAAATAACGTTTTGTCTTATTAAGTTTAGTTCAAGAATCTCGATTTTCCTTCCTTAGTCATAATCACAGTAAAAATCAATTATAAGTTCTTTCCTGACATTATAGATCTTAGGGTTATTTATAAATAGCCCCTAAAATGACTAACTCAGAATGAATGAAACATGATGACTTGATGATAATCATAATATATGACATCCTTTTAATGACATTTTCCTTTTCCTAGGTATAGTTTTATTTCAATGTAGCGATGAATAAATTACATACATACATACATAACTTCACGCCTGTCTCCCATGGGGGTAGGCAGAGACTAAGGAACGCCAATTACTACGATTCTTACATACCTCTTTCGCTTCATTAACAGTCATTAATCTTTTCATGCATGCTCGTCGGTTAAGGGTACTTTTAATTTGGCCCTTCTTTAATATATCGCCAAATATAAATTATTACGAACAAATCTTAGGTACTAAGTTGTAATTCCCTAACAGGCTAAGTACTTGTGACCTCAAATGTTTCCTATTAAAATGTTAAATTTCATTGAAACATGAAAACATCTTTGAGTGAAACTGTCAGTAGGTACTCTGCCAGAGAAAAGATAACTAAAAAAACACGCTATTAAATTCAACCTTCACTGTTTATGGTTAATAATAAACCATTTAATGTTTAAACTGTTTATTAATTAATGTATGTTTATATTATTACGTTAAGTTATATGTATAAAAGCAAATTCTTGACATACTTCGACCTGTGCCTAGAAATCTAAGGCTGAATACAAGTTGCCCTTTATCAATCTAGACTTCAAGGGATTAGAACAAAATGAAAGTCAATAAGAACCAAGTTCCTAGTTTAACATTCTTTCATTAATTTCCTTTACGTAACCCAACGCGTCAAAAAAGGACATGATTCTGAAATTTTGTCTTTAACGGGTATAAAGTAAATGGACGATATTAGATATTACCAAAGGAAAATCCCATCAAACATAACGTTCACCTTTAATAGTCTATGGAATAGAGAATCCGATTTTATAACCAAATAGGTAGGAATAAGTAAATATTTAAATATGGACATTCAAAACACTATCGTTATAAAAAGCAGCCCATGAGAAGCCATGCTAGACTACGGAACTCTGGTAGACTTTACAAAAGAGGGTTTGTCATAATAGGGAATGAAAATTAAAAATCTATTTAGTATTTTTTATTTTCTCATATTATACATATATAATATGATTTTTTTAAATCTTATTTATTATAAGGCATTTTTGTACACATTTTGTGACGATGTCAATCCCATCGTGCTTCTACATAACAAATGTATTTACAACTTAAACAAAATAACTTAGAAAAAAGAAATCTAATATATAGATGTAGGCCTAGCTAAAATACCATTAAACATTCCAACATCCATTGCTGACAGTTTATTGGATTTGAGAAGTGCATTTCTCTTATTTGTATATCGGACATATTCCACCAACACATGTTGCACGTCGTCTATTCTGCCACACATCTCACAAATAGGGGAGTCTGATTTTCGCATTAGGTGAGCGGAGTGGTTTAGTGGAATGTATATAATATGATAATAATACTTAGATAAAATGGCGTTAAGTTTAAGAGTGGAAGGTCGTTACTTGGTACATTTTGTAGCACGTCGTAACATTACACGATATTTAAAATTAATATACCGACAGACTATATTATTTTAATAGTATTTAATATTGTGAGAAACGAAAAAATACGTGTCTAATGTTGTAAATGAATCTATTAAAATAAGATTTAAGAAACTACCGTATACGGTTGGCAGGTGGATTGAAGAGCGCAGTTTAAACGATTCAAGTTTATCAAAAAGCGACCTGGACTCTGTTAAATAAATAATGTCCAGATACTCAAACGCTACTAAATTTTAAGTAGCGCTCAACTATAGTTCTGTCGCTACAAATCTTTGTAAAATGACAGAGATGGCACGATATTTAAGTACTACTTAAAATTAAGCAAGCCTTTCAGTATTCGAACGTAAATCTTTTACTAAACAGTTCGAGCTATAATAAAGCCCACGTAGGAAAAACGTATGTCCTAGAGAATGCATTACATTTTACGACTCATTAAAAGTGTGGCGAATTAGTCAAAATAATTATTACCTACTATGACTCAGTACGAGATAAAAAGTTATAATTACGTAATTTTGTCGGATGATCGCTCAAATTAGAGATGCTAATTGACGTGTATTAAATAATTGTGTCTTTATCTCTTTGTATCATAATGTAAAGTACAAAATTGAGCTCTGTTTTTAAATGAACTGAAGGGTCATTTTTGTAAATCAACGTATATTTTTAAGACAACAATGTAAATAATAGTTTGAAGAGATTGAAGATTGATTCAAAGTAGAGAAAACTACTGTTATACGAAATTTATGCTTTTTGACTGAGCCAAATCTTTTGTGATACTATGTTTCTGTATCTCTGAATCAATCTTTATTTTCTCAACCGAATACCAAATAACTTGGCTGACTATACATTGTTTACAATGTTTACATTTTAACTGCTCAGTCCCAAGCGTGAGCTCTCTCCACTTATTCTATTATAGACCTTATTTCCGATATTTACAGACTATTTTTGTATGAACAAATGTTGTAGATTTTTATAATCTTAACAGTATTGCTTTCCTCATTTGTGGTTATATAACATTTAAAAACTGTTCTTCAACCAAATCTCCTTGACCGTTATTTAGGGTTGAATTTCAAGTATTCGATTTTATCTTTCGTAGGACCTTTCACATGTTCAATTTTATTTTATGATGATGTTAACCGTTTTATATGCAGGTTCCTTATTACTTTTCGGTGACTTTGAAATTTAATTGTTTATAAGAAAATACTACAATAATATTTTACTGTTATCAAATAAATTAAAACAAATTATGTATAGGTACGCTTATTTATAGTAGTTTATTTCCACAAAACGGCACGGATTGACTTCAAAGACAAACATGAAGGCGTTCAAGCGCCGATTTCGATTTCGATTTCGTATAGTATGTAGTTATGTATTTAAAGACCTACACCTAAATTAAATAAAGACTGGTGATATTACCAGTCTTTATTTAATTTCCTAGGACAGATAGACAAATCAACCATTTGATATGTCTATTACAGAATCAAGGAATCTATAGGTACTAATATTACAAATGTGAAAGTGTCATTGTGTTTGGTTGTTCATCTCTCATGGCAAAAAGTGACGTGATTTTTATAGTGGAGATAGTTGAAAAGATAGAAAATGACATGCGCTACGTTTGTCTCTTTTTTACCCCACACTCACCTTAAATATGGTGGAAATTTGTATGCAACATTTCCCAATTCTCGAGATTGAAAGCTAAAAATTGGTAAGCGTATTATTTGTGAGTAACAGAAAAATTTGCATTTCTTTTTGTAAATCTGCCTTCAACCCCTAAAAAAGGGTGCGAGCGGAACCGCAGGCAAAAACTGGTCTCCATATAAAATAAATCACCTATATCATTATGTTTTGTTTTATTAAGAAAAACTTGGGGAAGTATTAAAGATAATATTTATTTTTTGATGTTCCGTGGAACCATTATTGTTATGTCCAGCGTATTACTATCATTCTCATCT